GACTTGCTATAAAAATGAGCAGGAAAAAAAAAAATTAGGCAGGTTCCCCTTTCGATGATGTGAACAATAAAGTTATGGGCTGGCTGTTGGCTGTTCTTTTCATCAAAGCGTTACACTTTTTTCGTGACTAAACATGTAATACTTCCCTTTTTGGATGTTAGGTAAGCGCAGCTTTAACAAGCCCTAACTTGAGATCGGCCTAGTATCCTTCAAGACTGATGCAGGGAGGCTGCCTCAGTTAACTTTTTCATGGCTAGACCTCATGGACATCGCCAGATGAAGCAGAGCTTCAATCCGCCAAGCTGTCATGCTAGTGTTCCCCAACAAACAGGTCACTGAGTTACTAAGGAAATGAAAAAAGCCTATTCTTTCCCAAGCCTGCCTTAGGAAGAGAAAATAGTACATTTCCTGTACTGAGGGACCCCAGCTTCTCTTCTCCGCAAAAGCCAACATGCACAAAGAGCTTGGCATAATCCGTTCACGCCATGCCCTTTTTAGAGCGATGTTTTTAGAAGGCACTCAATGGGCCAGCAGATGGCGTAGCAGTTATGGCGTTGGACTCCAACATGGCCGACCACGGTCAAGTGACCACGGTCTGAGTCCCGTACCAGTGGCTTGAAAATCACATTGGGTGTGTGTGCATGCCCAAGATCCCGGGAGGAGAATGAAGAAAGAATTGGTGCATGGCTGTACCCCAGGGGGGCTGATTTCTCTCTCACTTTCCCTTTCACTGTCTCTGTCTCTCTCATTCCCAGGAACACATGTGCCCTAAGGCAAAAACCTTTTTTTTTTCTTTTCTTTTAAAAAAAGGGCACTAAAACCCAGAGGGTGTGATCCTGAATGATCAGAACATTTACTTTCAAATTCAAAATATAATAGATAAAAATACAGAAGCTCCACCAGCCCTTTATAAAAGGCATTTTCTTTACAATGAAGATCAGTATCATTGACCCTAATAAGGCAAAGTCAACTCTAGTAATAAAGGAATATAAAATTAAAAGTAGATTAAAAGAAATATCTTCATTCTTGTAGAAATAAAAAAAACAATCCTGTCAGATATTTGACCACATATGAGTCCTAATAAGGAACTACTAGAAATTTGGGCTAAACCTCAAAATGGGCAGAAAAGGTCATTTTTAAACATAATTTTGAGGGATCTACCAGAGTGTTCTTCTTTTGAATTGATGCTTTTAAGATTCTGGCAGTGAGTTGTTCTGGCAGTAAGATTTTAAATAACGATTGGTATGTAATTTGCTATTTAGAGATCATGGTGAAAAATGGCAAAAAAAGTTCAACCCAAGGACAAAGTCTTCCAAACTAACGTCTGCATGGCATAACATTCCTGAACAAAACGCAAAGAACTGTCTTCAAGCACCAAAAGCGGAATCCATGGGGGAAAGGGACAAAATCCCACAATGAGTCCAACCTACGTGAAAGACTGTAAATCTGGCAAATTTTTACAAGATTAAATAGGATAATTTTTATTCAAAGAAATTTCCTAAGCCTAGCCATTCATCTATGACATACTGAATCACCCTTAAGTAAACTGGAAAAATATTAAAATTGTCATTGTCAGGGCCAGCAGGTAGCATCATAGTTAAAGCTCTGGACTCCCACATGGTCGACCATGGTTCAAGTCTCAGACTTGGAGGCTTGCTTTCTCACTTTCTCTCCTTTTCTGTCTCTCTCTGATCAAATTTTTAAAATAACAATAGAAAAACAAAATAGTTCTTTAAAAAATAAACAAAATAAAATTGTAATTGTCTATTTTTGTTTGTTTGTTTAGGAAAAAGCAGCTAAAGAAATGTAATGTTGATATCCAATTACTGGTATATAAGTTAAACACATACTTGTTTTTCTGTGCAAACAGAAGAAAAACCAACTCAGACAACACATTATTACCTTAAGGCATAAGTAAATACTAAATGGTACCTACAAAAATTTACTAACCTCAAAAAAGCCCCTACTTTCTCTCTCTCTCTCTCTTTTTTTTTTTTTTTTTTTTTTTGATTTGAGAGGTTTTTCTCTACAGGGCGCATGTGCTCGCCAGAAAGACAGAGCAAGACATAGAGACAGTAAGCGAGAAATCACCCCCAAGGGGGGGTGGCCATGCTGTAATCCCTTCTCCTCCATTCTCCTCTCGGAATCTTGGGCATGCACGCACACGTGCCTGGCGTGAGTTTAAGCCACCGGGTCCGGGACTCGAACCACAGTCGACTGCATGGGAGTCCAGCGACATAGCCATTATGCTAACTGCTGGTCCCAAAAGCTCCTACTTTTAATAATTATCTTTATTTCTCTTCATCCATGATAGTAACAGGTTTCGATTCCATTTAGAAAATCTCAGTTTTTTACTTGTTTAGATGTTATATTAGATGTTGATATTTGAAAATACAAACCTTTGGAGCATTTTTATCTTTAAGTCATAAAACTGATTATAAATAAAAAAAGTAATTTGACTATATAAAGTTGTCATTGTATGATATGATGCTTTCTGAAAAGAATAAACAAACTGTATACATGGAAGAACAGCATACAAGGGATTCAGTGAAACCATTCCCTAAATAACTTCATTTAAAAGAACTTGAGAATCTACATATTTGGATGCATAACAATAAGTCCCTAGATTTTATCAGATTCTCGAGTAAGAGTACAAGTTTCCAATGCTACCAATTTCTACTATGAACATTTTAATTTCAGTCTTTAATACTTTTAACACCCATGAGTTCCTAAGGAATTTATTACTCGTAAAATATATTCTTATTCTTTTTAATCCAGAATTAAATGGGCAAAAAGGTTGTAAATACATATTTTCTAACTGGTAATAGGAAGGAAAAACAACACACACACAAAATCCCTAAAAGGTAGTTCTTAACCTATTGATCCCCCACTCTCTAAGCAGTGCTCTGGCTTTCTGAGTGCCAGCCTTCTGTGTTCCCTTCAGGTGAATCACACTGTCTCATTCCTGCAGGTTCAGGAAATGATCTTCCCCAGTCTACAAATCTCACCTACTCTGAGATGTGAGTCATTTACATTAGCAAGGGAGCAAGTTGCTCCAGTTGTGCCAGGGCAGGAGAATTTGAAAGGGTGCCTCAAAAGCAATCTGGAGAGGGGCAGGAGAGGACCCATCTTCTCTGGCAAGAAGAAAAAAAATGATTTTATTTAGTGCTTTACCAGAAAATCCCCTTTCCTGCCAACCTTAGATTCAAGACTTATCCTTAAAAACAAGAAGCTTGTTTCGACTTGAAGATACTTACATCAAGTGAATGGACAGCCAGCCACCGCAATGAAAGGTAAATAAATTTTCTTTTAATTTTCCTACACGTCGTTGTTGATAGGACACAGCACTGATCGACGCTATAATTACACTTCTGCTTAAATATGAGGTTTGAAGGAAAACTCGAAATTAAAATGCTGACTGAGTACGATCTGTAAATGCTCTTTAGGAGCTACCAGTTTCCGAAATGGGGTCCACAGGGTGTCACTGTTTCTAACTCGGGCAGACAGAAAATGTAAACTGCGTGTGTTATCTTCAAAAGTAGAAATCATGTTTTGGAAATCACTTGAATTTATTGAACGTTTTGTTACATTTACCTTCTTAGATGAGTAAGATCCAAAGTTCCTTATAATTGTTTCCCCAGACCCCCAAAACCTAAATGGGTTTCATATTTTGTCATTCGTTTTTTTGTTTTTTGGTTTTTTTTTTTAAAGAAAAAGATTCTTTTCTGTTCCAATTGCCTCGTCTTGATAAAAAAGAATCTCAATCTTTTCGTGCACCACAAAGAACAGGGCAATCCACATCTGATCCCTTAAGAACGCATGTCAAAACACGTCCAGCAGGGCACTTAGAAAACGGCCTGCTACTGACAAACAGGTTAGGAACGGCTTTAGTGGTGTTCCGCGCTCAACTGTGAGGCAAGTTTTCACCTCAGTGAGGAAGACAGAGAAGCTAGCACAAGGATTCCACCTCTGCTAAATTATGAGGATGGTAAAAGAGAGATAGCCTAAGGTAGAGCGGCTTTTTGATTTATAAGACCAAGATTTGTCTACTACAGAATTCTCATTAGAGTCTCAAACTGACATGGCTTTCATGTTAGATATATTATTTTAAACAGTTTGATGTCATCATTTTAATTAGATGCCAGTTTACTGGTCATATGGACAGCCACAAATTTGGTTCCACATTACCGTATATTGGGAGAGAGAAAAAGACAGACATCCCACTGATACTTTGCTGCATTATTTCTGCCAATTCAAGGTTAATTGCCTCCACGAAACCAGGAATCAAAGATAAGGTTCCTCAGCCCTGCAGGAAAATCCCATCCACAGACTACAGTTGCTGACATGTATATGAAGACTTGCAGATATAGGTGAATCAAGGAGAGAGAGGAGCAGTCTGACTGCTTAATTCCATATTTAAGAATATAGCCTGGGCCAGCCCATGGCCTGGAGGTTAAGGCAGCTTGATCCCACATGGGTAACTCTGTGGTTCGAGTCCCAGATCTGGTGACTTGGAAAACATACCACCACATGTGTATGCATGCGCATAATCTTGATAGAAGAAATGGGGAGAAGGGATTGTGACATGTTCATCCCCGAGAGGGAGAACTTTCTCACTTTCTCTCTCTGTCTTTCCCTGGCAAGTACATGAGCCTTCTGGCAAAATTAAGAGCATAGCCTAGAAAAGAAAACTATTTAGTCAGAAAGTTATGACTGTTTCATGAAAGCAGTGAGGGGAAAATTTTCCCAACCAGAGACAACATGCGGAGAGGGTTTCCTGGATTCAGGGATGTGAATGGAGAAAGATGACTACATTAGGAAGAATTATATTTAGATTTGTGCTGTTTGGATTTTTCAGACTCTGACTACTTTTTAGTCTTTCTTTACTATCTTAGCATTTCATTCTCTTTAAGAACAAAAATCATTTCAAGCTTAGCTCTATACTTGAGAAATATTTTTGTTTTTTTATGTAGTACTAAAATGAGAAAAAGTAGGAAAAAAAAATACCCTCTCTCAAAGCCCAGTGAAAGGTGGGCTGGTGAGGTAGAATACAAGTGAGGAGAAATCCAGGTGAAGTCATCTCCCTGAGAACATCCCACTCTCTTCAGGGCAGGTCTCTGTGCTCAGGTAAGAGAGAGTGCGGGTTTAGGGTGGACAGCCCAGACTCATTCACAGCAAAATGACCTGTTTTGGGCACATGATTAGGCCAAAGCGTACCAGTGTGATGGGAAAGCCAAGACCTACCCAGGAACTCACTCTCCAGGTAAAATGAGGGGATTCGATCAGAGGGTTATCAGAGGCCCATCGCAGCTCTAGAAGCTCATGTTCAGGGTGATCTGCTGAGGTTGGTTATTAAGAACCCGAGGAAATGGGAAAAGCCAAAAATGAGGTCCTTGCAGTGCTATTCTTAACCAACTGCATGATATTAATCAGATCTGGAACTTCTAGGCCTCAGAATCTTCCTTAGAAGGAGACGACTCCTATTTGCTCCTCCTACCTCAGTTAGAAAGTTCTGTGTTTATACAAATCCGAAGGCCAGCTAGAGTTCTTGTGGTAACCATCTGGAGCAGAGAAGTGAGCACAGAGGCAAATGTGACTCTAATACTGAGTTTTGCTAAATGCCAAGAGCAGACGAACCACATGGAGACCCTTAAGGTGAACAACAGACTCCAATCTTCCTGTAGGCCAGTGGATAGAGCCAGGCTCCTGCCTGACCTGGCTGTGATTTCTAAACTTTCTACTTCCTTACATGGCAAAAGCAGGCGGCATAAAACAGTTGCTTTCCATCCTGTACCTACAAAGCGTATTTTGTTTCATTAACGTAATTGGCCAAATCAATTGAAAGGAGGACACTGATTAATTCTACTTAGCATACAACATTGCATTAAGTCATTCTATCAGTGACTGTCATTTACTGCATACAGCAATTTCTATTAATTTCTATCATTTAAAAGAAAGAATAACTTCTCAAATGACTTTTTTTAATGCAAGATACAGAATCTGTGTGGCAAAATTCTTCTAGCCTTAATACTGAAACAACAATAATTAACTCATATCACATATCAATAGTTTGGTATGTCCTAAGACTACTGCAGATTTTAATGTGTGTGGTGGTGGTGGTATGTGTGTGTGTGTGTGTGTATACACATATATCTTTTTTTTAATCATACAACCTTAGGCTGTATATTCCTATTACCCACCCACCCTATACACATATATCTTTTTTTAATCATACAACCTTAGGCTGTATATTCCTATTACCCACCCACCCCCCACCTTCTATGCTGAACAAATTGAGGCTTAAATAGTCCACCAGCTAGGAGCAGAACTCTTAAGGTAGAGTCCCTGCAGTCCACCATGCTCTTTCCCACTATTTTTTAAGTTCTGAGTGAACTCATCATTTGCGATTAGTTATCTCTTTCACATGGGCAGTTTAATAGGTAACATTATACAAACTTGTGTATGTATTACACTATTTGACTACAGTAGTAGACTATCCTGGGTACATCATGCCTACTTCAATCAAGTGGGAGCTACTTAACTTCCTGGTCATCCCAAAGGAGGCAGAAGATTATAAGTAGCCCACAAATACCCAGTGTGTGTGAAGGCAGTGGCAGAACAGCAGTTAAGAGCCCAGCACTCAGACTGACTGATGTCCAAAATCCAGCCCTGCCACTCACTAGTTATGTGAAAGTAAGAAAGCTCTGACACTCTGGCAGAAGACAGCACACACTTTTTGAAAGAACGTCTTAAGCCCCAGTTCTTTCATCTGAAAAATAGAAATTCTTGGGTTAGGTGGTAATATAGTGACAATGCAACCAGACTCACAGGGAAAGTTCCTGGGTCCCTGGTCGGACCTTCCTGGGCATGCTCACGCATGCACTCCCTCATGAGCTACCTGCATCTGGGTAGATTACAGCATGGAGACACTTTGGGGAGTGCCTGTCTTACCCTCTATCTCTGTTTCTCTCTTTCTCTCTCATGGAAGAAATATATAATAGACTAAACATGAAGGACAAAGGTATATACAGTAAAATATAGCCTTCGTTCAATCTTTACAATTTTATGAGGATTTTTTCCAGAGGAGGAAAGTGAGGCACCTTACAACAATTTTATTAGGATTTTTTCCAGAGGAGGAAAGTGAGGCACAGATGAATGGTTAGGTGACTTGACCAAGGAAGAAGCAGAACTAAGTGAAATTCTGCTTGCGGTCCATGAGTTCAGAGGGACCCTCTACTATATATATCAAGATTCTGGCTGCCTCCAAAGCAGAGGCCAGTGTACCAAAGGACAGCAAAGATGAAATAATCCCAGGTTGCTGTTACAATCAGGTTGAAAAAGAATGCTAACAGAGGAATACTTGGGTTGTCTGCATATACTCGAAATAATCCCAGGTCGCTGTTACGATCAGGTTGAAAAAGAATGCTACAGAGGAATACTTGGGTTGTCTGCATATACTGGAGTACCCAGCTACATAGATCTTAGTCCGAGAACTCCCAGGGCAATCCAGGAAAATGACATGCAGACCTCAGCCGCCTCGAGACTGCAGGCACGTAGGGTGTGCCACACTCTTTTGGGGGTGCGTGACCTACCTGTCCAAACTTGTTCGTCCTCATACCTGCCAGACTCAAAGTTTATAAATAGTAACTGAAAATATATCATTGGGCTTCTTAACACATTTTAGATTAACTGACTAAAACACAAATAGGAAAAACACAAAATTAATACCTTACTGGAGATCTCTATAAAGAGAATAGTCCTTGGGACCAACAGTGTAATGGCTATGTTGCTGAACTCCCATGTAGTCGACCACAGTTTGAGTCCCGGACCTAGTGGCTTAAATTCATGCCGGGTGCATGTGCATGTGTGCCCAAGATCCGGAGAGGAAAATGGAGAATACGGGATTGTGGCGTGGCCATCCCCCCTGGGGGGGTGATTTCTTGCTTTCTATCTCTCTGTCTCTGTCTTTCTGGCTAGCACACGTGCTCTAAAAACCTAAAATCCTCTCCAAAAAAAAATAAATAAAGAGGATAGTCCTTTATATCATGATTAGGTAGATTTGGGGTACTCAGGGCCCATAGTAATACATAATCCTGAAATAATCACAACTACGATTATATTTTGATTGTTTAAACCAAGCCATTTTAAGACCTGAATTTTAAAAAATTAAAAATTTTAAGGAAGACAGTGTCTCCCACTGAGTGAGAATTCTCATGATTTCCTCTATTACACTTATCAAAACCAATGAATAAAACAAGGAATGCCATCTAAATATTAACTACTATGTCAATGT